TAAAATTTTATGAACCCTAGGCACTGTGCTTACTGTGCCTTTTGGATAAGTCAGCATAGGAGGTGGGGAAGTTTGGGCCAAGAACATTTTGGATAGAGAGAATAGCATATAGAGAAGTTTCTAGGGGCTTACTTGCTCAGGGAATTAAAAGGCTAGAGCGGGGAGAGCAGGAGAGGATGGCACGAGGGAGGTTGGTGAGGCATGCCTTATTAAAATAATTGAATTCTTATAGAGGCCATTTAAAAATAGTAAATTAAATAACACTGATCCAATGCTGATTTTCTTTTTTAAAGACAAGATCTCGCTCTGTTGCCCAGACTGGAATGCAATGGTGCAGTCATGGCTCACTACAGCCTAAACTCCTCGGCTCAAGCCATCCGCCCATCTTAGCCTCTGAATAGCTAGAATTATATAGCACACACCACAATGCCCAGTTAATTTTACTTTTCAGAGACAGGGTCTATGTTGCCCAGGCTTAATGCTGATGTTTGATATAAAATAAGTATATTGTAATGGAAGTCAGCGATTTCAGCCAAACTATGGCAGATGTAAAGAAATGGGTTAGGCAAAATTTCATCTAAAGTCAGTATATACACTGAAATAGTGACAGAGAAAATCATATAATGTCTGGGATTTGCTTCAGAATAATACAGGAAGTATAAATGAAACAAGATTAGCCATGAATTCTCAATTAATGAAGCCAGACTTGAGGTTCATAGGGGTTCATTTTATTATCCTGTCAACTTCTCTGTTTCTGGCTTTCCATAATAGTTTTTATTTAAAAATAAAGCCAAGGTATAAAGAAACATCAAAACCCAGAAGCCATGGGTTTTGATAAAGATGACAGATATAGCTCATAAAAATGATAACATTATATAACAAAAATAAAGACACAAAACATTAAAAATAAAAAAAAGACATAATTGTGATATATGTAATTTATAGATTTAATATTCTTAATATGATCATGATTCTTATCAATCTAGAAAAAATTCAAAGACCCCACCCACAAGAAAAATTTGGCATGGCTCATGAATGGGACATTCATAAAAGAACTTAAAATTCAAATAAAAATATAAAAAGATACTCATGCTCAGTAGTAATCACACATATGAAAATTAAAATGCCATATACTTTTCTTGTATCAGATTTTGTAAAAAACAAAGTTAATGTCAAATGTTGACAAAACTATAGAGAAAGTGACATTCTCATTCTGTCAAACACTGTTGGTAGAAATGTAAATTGGTATAACCTTTCAATTTATTTACTATTTGATCTACCAATTCCATTCTTAAGAATATATCATAATCTAGCATTTTCCAAAGTGTATAGTGGGATGTTGACAGATGTTATTTGTGTTTGTGTAAGTGTACACTTAATTTTAAATGTAAATTTATCAAATGTCATTTAAAAAATTTCCCTTTTTAAAGTTTTTCCGTTGCTGCTGCGGCTGCTTTTTTTTTTTTTTTTTTAATAGAGTTTATTTTTCAGAGCAGTTTTAGTTTCATAGCAAAATGGAGTGGAAAGTACAGAGACTCCCATATACCCCTTGCCTCCTGTGATGGTTAATACTGAGTATCAACTTGATTGGATTGAAGAATACGAAGTATTAATCCTGGGTGTGTCTGTGTGGTGTTGCCAAAAGAGATTAACATTTGAGTCAGTGGGCTGGAGAAGGCACATCCACCCTTAATCTGGATGGGCACAATCTCATCAGCTTCCAGCAAATGTAAAAGCAGGCAGAAAAATGTGAAAAGGAGAGACAGGCCTAGCCTCCAGGCCTACATCTTTCTCCTGTGCTGGATGCTTCCTGCCCTCGAACATTGGACTTCAAGTTCTTCAGTTTTGGGACTCAGACTGGCTCTCTTTGTTTCTCAGCTTGCAGACAGCCTACTGTGGAACCTTGTGATCCTGCAAGTTAATACTTAATAAACTTCCCTTTATGTGTGTATATATATACACACACACACATATATGTATATAGATATGTATATATACATATATGTATCATATATCTATACATAGATGTATCTATATATACATATCCATATATACATATCTATATACATAGATATATATATAGATATACATAGATACGTATATATCTGTGTATATATACACAAAACTCTGCTAGGAATCATAGACGATAGAAACAAATATGTGTGTGTGTGTGTGTGTGTGTGTGTGTGTGTGTGTGTATATACACAAAACACTGCTAGGAATCATAGACAATAAAAATATATATATCCTATTAGTTCTGTTTCTCTAAGAGAACCCTGACTAAAACATCTCCACACTGCCTCCCTCACTATCAACATCTTGAAGGCATATGTTATCTTAAGAATGCATTCCATGGTTAAATAAGTTTGATTTCTACAACCTTGGTATATGATAATACTATACACTAGGACATACATCTCTAAGATAGTGAATAAGTCTTTCCTTATGTTCTATAACACTTACTTTTAGAAATTATCTTAAAAAATCATCAGATATGAGTACATATCACTTAAGTCATGTTTAACACAAAGAAAACTGGAAGTATTCTATATATTTAATAAGAGGAAGGTGGTTACATGATTCACGTTATAACCTTAAACTGGAATTTAAGGTAGATGATATTTACTGGCGTAAAAGTTGCTGCAATAGGATGATATATTCTATACCTTGAAAACACTAAAGACTCCACGAAAAGGCTCCTGGAAGTTATAAATGACTTTAGCACAGTTTCAGTATACAAAAATCAGTAGCATTTCTGTACACCAATAATGTTCAAGCTGAGAGCCAAATGAAGAACATAATCCCATTTACAATAGTCACACACACATTCACAAACCTGGGAATACATCTAACTAAGGAGGTGAAAGATATCTACAAGGAGAACTACAAAGCACTGCTAGGAATCACAGATGACACAAACAAATGAAAAAACATTACATGCTCATGGATTGGAAAAATCAATATTGTTAAAAGGGCCATACTGCTCAAAGCAATCTACAGATTAAATGCTATTGCTATCAAACTATCAATGTCATTTTTCACAGAATTGGAAAAAAACTATTCTAAAATTCATATGGAACCAAAAAAGAGCCTGAGTAGCCAATGCAAATCCAAAGCAAAAAGAACAAAGCTGAAAGCGTCACGTTACTCAACTTCAAACCATACTATAATGCTTCTGTAACCAAAAGAGCATGGTACTGGTGCAAAAACAGATGCATAGACCAATGGAACAGAATAGATAACCCAGAAAAAAAGCCACACACCTACAGCCATCTAATCTTTGACAAAGCTGACAAAATTAAGCAATGGGGAAAGGACTCCCTATTCAATAGCTTGCTAGCCACATGCAGAAGAGTGAAACTGGATCACTACCTTTCACCATATACAAAAATTAACTAAAAATGGATTAAAGATTGAGATGTAAGACCTCAGACTATAAGAATGGTAGAGAAAAAAAACTAGTAAACACCATTCTGAGCATAGGCCTTAGGAAAGAATTTATGACTAAGTTCTCAAAAGCAACTGCAACAAAACAAAAATTGGCAATTGGGACCTAATTAAACCAAATAGCTTCTGCACGGCAAAAGAAATTATCAACAGAGTAAATAGACAATTCACAGAATGGGCTAAAATATTTGCAAACTATGCAACCAACAATTGTCTTATATCCAGAATCTATAAGGAACTTAAACAATTGAACAAGCAAAAAACTAACAGCCCCATTAAAAATTGGGCAAAAGGCATGAACAGACACTTTTCAAAAGAAGATATACAAGAGGCCAGCAAACATAAGAAAAAGTGCTCATCATCACTAATCATCAGAGAAATGCAAATCAAAACCATAATTAGATACCTTCTCACACCAATCAGAATGGCTATTATTAAAAAGTCAAAAAACAACAGATGTTGGTGAGCCTGTGGAGAAAAGGGAATGCTTATATACTGTTGGTGGGAATTTAAATTAGTTCAGCCACTGTGGAAAGCAGTTTGGAGATTTCTTAAAGAACTTAAAACAGAATTACCATTCAACCCAGTAATCACATTACTTGGTACACATCCAAAAGCAAACAAATTGTTCTACCAAAAAGACACATGCATTCACAATATTAAGCACTATTCTTAATAGTAAAGTCATGGAATCTACATAGGTACCCATCAATGGTGGATTGGATAAAGAAAATGTGGTACATATACACCATGGAATATCATGCAGCCATAAAAAAAGAATGAACTCATGTCTCTGCAGCAACCTGGATGCAGCTGGAGGCCATTATCCTAAGCAAATTAACACAGGAACAGAAAACCAATTATCGCATGTTCTCACATATAAGTGGGAGTTAAACATCAGGTACCCATGGCCATAAAGATAGCAACAATAGACAACAGGGACTACTAGAGGGAAAGGGTGGAAGGGGGAGCAAGAGTTGAAAAACTGACTGCTAGGCACTATGCTCAGTACGTGCGTGAAGAGATCATCTATACCATAAACTTCAGCATCACGCAGTATACCCAGTTAACAAATCTGCATATGTACCCACTGAATCTAAAATAAAAGTGGAGGAGAAAAAACTAAATAAAATTTTTAAAAAGGCTGAAATAAACTGCTAAGTAAAAGAAGCAGGATAGGGAAACACCATTTAAGCCCTATGGTGTCTAGTCATAATTATTGTAACTATATAAATCCACATATTATACATAATACACATATATAAAAATAAATTTAGGAAGATATAACAAAATATGAAGAATAGTTACCTCAAGGTAGTAGGATAACTATATTTTTCTGTATTACCTTTTTTTTTAAAAAAAATAGTAAACATGTATTAATTTTCCAATAGAAATAATTTTTAGAGGCAACGTGTTTAAGCATCCTAATTTTGGAGAAATACAGCATTTTAATCTATAGATGTCAGGCACTTTCCATATTTAATACAAACTAAGTCTGCAGACAAAAACTACAATTGTATGAAGAATCTATGAAGGGAAACCATGATGCCTACCTTCTGGAGAGAAGTGACGAAAACATAACAAGCGTTGTGTGTGACTCAGCAGCGTAATGGAGGCGGTTAATTTCCAGATGCTCTATGTCTTTACAAGTCCCTATAAGGGAGTACCTCTTCTCTCTGGAACAGAAATAACACTGAGTACACACATTTATTTAAAGGCTGGTTTTCAAAATCAATAATAGTATTGTTGGCATTTTTTCACTTCCAAACATCAATGGATGTTTGCCAAAGAACTAGAGAGAATCAAGGTATTAGTATCTTCATCCTTCAGAAATTCTGTGATTAACTACCAGAAATAATTAAAGCAAATGTTATATACTTTATTTTCACATGTTTAATAATATAACCAGAAGAAATATACTTAATAAATTAAAAATTATTGATAAAAATAGTAGTATAATTTTGTATATCTACTATCTACCAGACACAATTCTAGATCCTTTATAGCTCATTTAATCCTCTCAACATCTTTTTATCTGATATTTATTCAACAATATTTATTGCTCTGTGCCAGGTACTGCGGGAAACACTGGAGATATAATGGTGATCACTCTCATGATACAAGATAGTCATTAACATTCCCACTTTAAAATGAGGTAATTGAGGCTCTGGGATTTAATATTAAATAGCTTAACTTCAAACCTACTCTTTCTATTATAGCCCAATTAAAAGGAGTTTGCTAGTCTTATCACCATCACCACTAAATAAACTCCAAACCTTTTAAGTTAAAATGGAAAATACCAAAAAATACCAAAAAATCCCCAACAACTCATCTAAATGTAGTATAAAATATATAGAAAATACCTATATATAGCCTTTATAATCGGCAATATCACCTAATTTAATCCTCACTCAATCTCATGATATAGCTGTTAGTACTACCATTTTGTAGATGAGAACACTGTCTTAGAAATGTTCACCTTAAATCTGGGTCTGCCTAATTCTAATGCTTAAAAATCTCAAAAGGAGAATGAGAAAAGAAAAACTTACATTAAAATGGAGAAAGCAACAAAGAAGTAAGAAAAACAACTCATTTAAGCCGCCTGATGTATGCATACACATGCAAAACACACAGTGTCACACACCTGTATGGACTGTGGTACTGCCATTCAAACACCCATCATTATCTCGTAAAAGAGTACTGCGGTGGGAGGAGGATGACAGGGCAAAGCAACTAACTAGATGGAGAAGCTGAATGAAAATCATCCTCAAATACAGATTGTAGCTACACAGGCTGCTTACTTTCAAGAGGGGTCTCACAGAAAAATAGCAGGAAATACTACCACTTCCTTGCTTATGACCTTAGGAAAGTTACTTATCTTCTCTGGGCTACAGTTTCCTATCTATAAATGAGGATAATAACAGTATCCAACTAACAGAGGTGTTATAAGGATTAACATTCACAAAGTACCTAAAGTATCATTTTCAATAATAAATGCTATATATATGTGTGTGTGTGTGTGTGTGTGTGTGTGTGTGTATGTGTGGTTTAAAATAAGTATCTGAGTGGGGTTAATTATATTAACAAAGCCCTTTCATGCAGCATATTACTCTCAGTTATATTTTCTGTCTGTTAACATCTCAAGTAATCCTCACTTCAACCCTATGAGGTAGATATTATTGCCAGCTGGCTTTTAGCTTCAAAAGGCAGAAACTTGATTTTAGCAACTCCTCCAATCATTAGAAACTCATCAACTTAAAAGGGAAATTGTTTTGTTGTTGTTCCAAAATGATAGCCAATGAATTGGATAAAACACTATTTATCGATATCAAGTCTATCTTAAGTACCAAACCACCAAGAAATTACTTCATTACTATAAAATTAAAACATGGAGAATTGAAAATTCAAATTAGACCTCCCATCAAGCCACAGTAGTCTGCTTGTCTACTGTGTTAAAAATTTCCTTTTACATGATATGATACCTTGAGAAGGCACACCATCACCAGTGTAGTATTTTCATGAAGAATATTTAACCTAAATTTAACAATAAAAATTTTCAGAACTATCTAAACTAAAGTGACATCTTGCAAACAATTGGCCCAGCCTAATAAAAAAAAGTCAATGAGATTAGAGCCCAAAGGCTAGAACTTCATGTCCCACTGGGGATAGGCAAGTAATGTGTTTACCTTCTGGCATGAAGGTATTGGGAAGCCTCATAGAGATTTGAAATTTCACTTGAGAACCCTGGCTTGTCCTAAGGACTGTTTGTTACTTTGTTAAAGATTTTAAAAGAGTTTTTAGGCAGAATGGAAGGAGTTGCTGAGAATAAACAGCCAGGGAATAAAGAATTCTGAAGGGAGAGAGGGACTCAAATCAGTGTTGAGATGTTGGTGAGTAGAAGAACTGATACAGAGAAAAAAGGGAAGGAGAAAAAACTCTGAACCCTGGGAATTATACAGTCTCTGGGAATTACACAGCAGGTATAGTTATGCACAAATCATCTGCTGATGTGGGGAGGAAATATCAGTACTTACCTGTTTTCTATAAAAATATAAAAATAAAAGATTATATAAATAATATAGATTAACACTAGTACCTTTAAAGTATATTTTTATTGAGGATAGACAATAAATTTTACATTTTATTTATTATTATTATTTTTATACAGTATGTGACCAAAATGTTTGGTGATCATTGTTTACAGGAACGAAAGAAAGACTTTCAGGTGTTGGTAGGTACTAGGACATTTGTTCCTGCTCTTAGGGATGAGGGAGACAGGGCAGTGCTTGGATGGCCTTCTGCTGAGTGGCCAGAGTTGACTGTGTATTGTACCATTGTTAATCTGGAGGCATGATGTGGTCTGAAGCTCATATGAAAATGACAGATGAGTTCACTGAGATTCATCAAACTCTGCTTCATTTTCTTGCTTATTTATACAGAAATAAATGATACTTTGAGAAGAAATGTGGAAAACATAGTCAAAGATAATGAAAACTCCTGGGTGAGAAACTTGAAGGACACAGGGGCAAAGCAAGGCCACTCACTTTGGAGACTTGAGGGCCTCTCACTTTGACCCATGTGGGTGAAAGAAAGCTGGGAAATGGGAAGGAACAGCCTACCATATCCTTTCTGTGAAAAAAACAAAATTTTTTTAGATCATGTATTGAGATGGTAGTGAGGAATGTGTTTCATCCAGAGGAAGACACAGCAGAAAAGGGGATGGAAGCACCTCTGCCTTCAGAATGCTGTGTATGTCCAGTGCCAAGAATGAGCTTGAGATTTTAACAGTCATCACAGAGACCTGATAGGCATGAGGTGTCTGTCCTCCTTCACACTGGGGTGTCTATATCCAACCTGTGATCTGTCTCCTGTCCCCATCATCCCCAACTTAGCTCCTCTCCACATTGTCACGAGTGCCTGCTCAAAAGTCCTCACTGGGTCCTGTCTGTGGAATCCAGCCCATTGGCATGGTTTGGTCAGCCCAAATTTGAATGTCTTTAGGCAGAACTCATACAATTCAGTTTGCCACAGGTCTATCATTTCACATCATATGTTTGTGTTTGTTTTCTGCCTGTCCCTTAAAGCTTTTGAATTCTGAAACACAGGAAGAAGTCCAGATACATTGTCCCAGCATACAAAGGCCTGCTCCTGTGTGTTTCTCCTGACTCATGTTTCATGGTAATATCCTCACAGGTGACTCAGATCTCTAAACTGTGTGCTTTGCAAAAACATAAAAAGTAATACATTATATTTTGCTCATATGATGATCTCTGCTTTCCCTTTTTTGTCTGCTTATCTTTCAAGTTAGCTGAAATGTCATTTCCCCACTGACATGTCTTTCCTGAATCTTTGAGAGAGGACAGACATCTGCCTCTTTTGTGCTCCTTCTGGACTTTATATGGTCTTTATCATAGTATTTATAACATTTTACTGATTATTATGTACAAATGCCTAGAACCTGACACCATGCCTGCCATTTCATAGGTGGCCAATAAATGTTTTAAATGAGTTAAAAAAATGTCAACAACATGACAGACACAAAAGGCTGGGATTTTTTTTTTTTAATTAAAAGAGATTAAGCAGATATAACAACTAAATACAATGTATGAACCTTGACAGGACCTTAGATCAGGAGGAAAAAGACAGCTATAATTAATGGACAACTGGGAAATCTTAAATATTGATTAAAAGAATCTCTGTCAAAAACACATTGAAAACTATCTTAGGTTGTTTATTTCTTTAGATAAAATTATTCATTCATGCATTTATAATAATATTAAGTACCTATTCAGTGTAATAACCCTGCAGGTAAAAATTCTTGTAAGTAACAGAACCTAAAATACAGACTTGGCTTGGCCAAAAGGGTCAGGTGAAGGGTAGTGAGGACCCCTCTATCTCAGTCTGGCAAGTTAGCAAAATAACTAAACCATCATCTGTTACATTTCAGGACTCAGACCATCTGCCTACTGAAGTATTTTTCCTTCTAATGGAAGGGAAAAATTCAGACTGTTGGAGCAGGTTGGCTGCTTTATGCAGCCTTCAGTAAAGTCCTACAAGAAAGAATGGAAGGTCAGGAAGCAGTGAAGGAAAAAAAGATGTCTTTGCCAATAAAGCTACTTTTTATCCGTGGCTGAGAATAGGAGATCTGGACATTAGTAAGAGTGAAGAAGCCAAATTACAAATGCTTCATAATTATCTTGTATCTATTTTTTGAATAGGTTATTCACATGACATAGAATTTTAAAGATACAAAAAGAGAGTAAAAAATCTCTCTCCCAGTCTTGTCCCCCAGCCATCTGTTTTCTTCACTCCCCAGAGGCAACCCCATTACCACTTTCATATGTCCTTCCAGAGATGTTCAATGCATTGCCATACTACACATACATTTCCACAAATGAAGCAGGTTATGCATACTGTTCTATACCTTGCTTTCTTCATGTAAGATGTTTTGTCAACTGATCATATCAGCACATACAAAGCTGCCTTGTTATTTTAAGAGCATCATTGTATAAAGCTTACATGATAAAAACCATAGAGTAGACAAAAATGCAAGAGGATATAACCATTTTATTTTATATAAAGAATATGGCTGTATTCTTTATATAAAAATATACCACTAAAAACTTAGCGTACCATTAAAAACACAGTACACAAGAATGCAAGAGAATGTATTAGA